GCAACAAACTGCTTTTTGACGGCTTTTGAGCAAATATTGTTCGAGTATTGGAGTATCTGGCAGATAAAACTTCACGCGTGGCAAACTTTTTTCAAGTGCAGCATGCAATTTTGCAATATTGAAAAGAAGACCTGAGAAAAAAGTGAAACTTGGAGGCTCTGGCAGATATCCAAGCATAACTGTAACCATAATTACCGACAGCAATGAAAAGCGAAACAAAATTAATGAAGTGTGTGATAAGCGCTAAGGGAAAAACTAAAAGAAAAGAAAAACCAACGCCATTCCGGCCAAGACAATGCCTTATATACATGGATACATGGATACTTGGGTACTTGGACCTGTTGCCACTTGTACCCCGTGGATCTCGAATGCCAGAGCGATGTATCTTGTGCCGACACGGAAGTGCGGGAAAAAATGTTTCGTTACTTGGCCAAAACAATGCACAATGTACGAGTACCAGCCGCAAACTCACGCGGCAATTGTTTTTCTTCTGTATTTTTTTTTGTGCTGTTCGCAATACGTTTTTGTATCTTGAACTTGAGGCATCATCGGACAAGATGTTGTATCTATGGGCGTATCCGCACTGCACGCATGTGGGTTTTTTGCAGGGGTGTTATGGGTGTGAGCTTGACATGAAGAATTGTCTCTGGAAGTACTGATTTGGAGAACAATTCTGCCGATTGTGTGAGTAATGGTTGTCAAGCTAATAATACGTAATTAAAATGGAAATGCATTCGCATCCGTTGTTATTCTGCTATATATTGAAAATAATATTTAGAACCAAACACTAATGAAAATGAGTCAAAGTAATTGTAAAGATAATACAACAAAGCATTAAATAATTTATATTATGAAAGATCAAATTAAATACAAAGTTGTATTTAATACGATTTAATCCTTACTTCAGATATTACAATAAAATAATTGTAAATTATCAGTTATAATATTAAAATGTGTTCAAAATTTGTATATATATATAATATATTAAAATATAATCATCAAATAAAAATGGCAATGTATCCCTTAGAACAATTCAGACCTGGCTTACAGCTAAAAGACCATAAATAATATGTTCTTACTTACCGTAAATAAAGTTATTATTTCTGGTCTCCAAAATACTTCTTCTACATCACATAAAAACCTCCCTTAATAACTCAGAATCAACTTCAGGCGAAGAGCATTAAAACCACATAAACATGAACAAAATCCACAAAAAAAACAATCAACAAGAGGCAGCAACTATTTTGGCCAAATTATGTCAGAGTTGCCTCCAAAGATGTCTAGCTCATGTTGTGGCAGATTTTTTGCTGATTTTTTCTATATACATATGGGAATTTTTGTTAAGATGATTTGTGCCAGTGCCACTTGAACTGTGCGTCAGCAGTGATTGAGGGAGATACAGCCCGAGATGAAGACGATGTCGATGGAGATGGAGGCGATGGAGGCGATGGTTGGCCCTCGGCATGTCAGATGTCGATGGTGATGATGCTGCGGCTGATGTTCATGTTGTTCGTGTTGATTTTTTTTAGCCCCCAAGTCTGCCTGCAGTACTAGGTATTATTGCATAATCAAGCAGATTGAGCAATGAGTGGATTTAAATACAAATTTAATGGTTTCGCTTATGGCCCATTGTATTCGGTCTTTGAACTGAGCCCAAAAAGGGATTATCGATGCGATTTATGGTTAAGAATAAATGTTTGGTAATGTAAATAAATCGAAATAATTGCGAAATTAAACCATAGAACAAAAAAAAATATAATTAAGTAAACGTAATTACTTAAAACGACAATAATAATTTCATATGTGATTATTTTTGTATAAATATTCAAAAGCTAATTTGTTTAATCTTTTAAAAAATTCCCTTTGTTCATTTTGTGACTGCCTAACTAGATTACACATCCCACTCCTTTAATGAGTCGGCGAAATGCTCTAAATATTTAAGTAAAATGGGACAAAACCCATTAATGAAATGTAAGCAAGCATTCATTTTTAGGTTTGAATGATTAATTTACGTTTGAATAATTCACTTGAAGGCCCATGACGAAAATGTTGGGGAAAGGCCTTTTTTCGAGCTGACAATTGTCCCGAAGTATGCGAAAAGAACCACAAAAAGCGTTTTGCTGACACATCAAATGGGAAGCACACAATTACCGGCCATATTTCTTCCCTGTTTCTCCACCATTCGCCCGCTTTCCTTTTGTGGGCAGGAACACGTGCAAAATGTCCAACACGGTGGGCCAAATGGGGCCAGAGAAGTAAAAACGCCATAAATGCCCAGGTCCACTTACAATTATTGCCCCAGTGGATGGGGCACAGTGAGTTGCAAAAAAAGCAAAAATAGAGACTGCGAGCTATGAAAAATCGAAAGTGGCAAGCCGAGTGACAAGCGGAGAGCAAAGGAGAAACATGTGCTACAGCCATTCGATTCGGTTCGGACTCGGATTTAGGATTGCGATTGGGATTGGGATTGGGACTGGGACTGGGCTTGGGTGCAGCGCAATCTGCGACTCAGCATCTCTAATGCTCACTGCAGCTGTTGCCGGTTCACATTGGTTGTAGTAATAGGAATGGGTAATAATATCATATAGGTATACCTGCAAATATTCCTTAAATAATCAAATTTTGGAAATGCATATGATAAACATAAGCCGGTAAGGTAAACATATAACAGTTCTACAGGGAATTCTGCTTGTAAACATCATAAATACTTGGATACTAATAATTTGTATATATTTATCTTTAAGATTCTTAAGATAACAGCATTTCTTTAGGATTATATCTATTAAGCATGAGAAGCGACGCACATACCTGATAGCTAGAATCTTCAACATTAAGATATCAACAAGTTCAAGAATGCAAATATTTAAAAAATTTTATATTGTAGGTAATCTGTTTTAAGACAATAAATTTTATTTATTTTATAAAAAAATAATATCAAATTTTCGTAAAATTCGAAATATATTAACAAACGTCAAACGAATATTTATGAGATATCATATATGAATTCTATAATCTATGGGTTTATCTTAAAATAACTTTATATAAATTTTGCATTATAGGATACAGTACCATTTTTTGATGTAATCCCAAAAAAGCTGTTCCGAATTTCTAATTCTGCGTGAAACATTTGAGGATTGTACGACCAGTGTGCAATGGAGGGGCTGCGGGGTGTTGTTGCATGGTAGTTCGAAGTTTTTTGCCATATCGAAGAGCATGTTGCACAATGTCGCCGGTGCGAGTACATGAAAGATACCGGGGGAAAAAGCCGAGCAACGCACACACATATTGGAATTGGAGCAGAGATCAACGAGTCTGCCGCCAGTCAAAGGCAAACATCTGGTTGTGGCACCGCCTCCTCAACCCTCCGACCCCGTAAATGGTACCCCCCTCTGGGTGGCCAGGTGCAGCCGGTTTCCTGTGCGTTGGCAACGTGTGCTGCAAGTCGCAACACGGCGTTTGCCATTAAAATCGGCAAATTGCTCTGGAGCCTCCGAATGGGGGCAAATATATGAGTTCTATGGCAAGGAATGTAGGCCTGATGAACTGGAAGGTGGCTAAATGAACTGAAAGGATGCTGAGTGAACGCAACATTTTGCAAAACACTCGTGACCAGAAAGCCAAATGAAGTGGTTAAACTTACAAGACATTCACAATATTACAGCTGTTTAAGCGTAACTAAAATGATGATGAAATGCTGTCTTAAAAAATTATTTAATATAAAAACATCACCATTTTTGATGAACCAAGTGCTTTTTTATTTGATTTATAAATATTATGCACAATCAAAATATTAGTTTATTATTCAAATGGTATTATTTTGGATAATTTGCATATTTAGGACAGCTGTGGTTGCTGAGATTGCGTAAATCCTAAAAAAAACACCCAAACAATTATTTGTTAATTACCTTTTTTGGTGACACATCTGACCACAAGCGGTGGCCCCTTCAGCCGCTTAATTGAATTGTTTTTGGTCTGGCCTATGGGCCATCAATTCATTGTTTGCACTCGAAACTCACCACAAAAATAAAGAAATAATTACTGACCTGACTGAATAAACACCATAAATATCGGCACGACTTTGGGGCTACTACAAAAAAAACTAAAAAAAAACCAAACCGCCACCGCATTGAAAGTGAAAGCTTTTTTTTGAAGTTTTTTTCAAACAATTTATTTTATAAATACCTTTTGGTAGCTCAGGAAAAAATGCATATATTATCTGCGGATTTATTTTTGAGCCAAAGAAGACGCTGACGATGGGAAAAGTCTCGAATGAGAAATGATGCTCATCACCTGTTTTCTTTTCATGAATTCAAAGGCGTCGAATATTGCCCCACCCAAATGTCGGTTCAAGTTGAAGTTTGAAGTGATGTAATTTCTCTCGGCAACGTTTTCAATTTCTTTCCTAGCCACAAGAAAGAAAGACTTGAACTTGGCAGCAGCTGCTTTTTAACCACTTACTCTTACCCCAAGGTTATTTTAACTATGCCATTAAGTTAAAAGTTTACCAATAAAATTATAAAATAATGATAGGGTGATATGAATCAGCTAAAAAATCATATACAAGATGATAAATGAATTTATTATTGGTTACAATACTTTACATTTTTATTATTTTATAAGAGCAATTCCACTTCGTTGCGTATTGCATCTTACTCTCTAGATATATCTTTGGCATTTCGCTGGCGCAGTTACAGCCGCATTTCAACAACTCACAAATTTGCATATCAATGTGACTTTGAGTGGCTCTGCGACTGTGACATAATCACTTGCTGTCATTTTAATTTACTGCTAATTAATCTACAAGCCACCCGAAATTACATCTGGCCAAAGAGCCATAAAGTCTGAATGAAAACTCTAATTAATTTTGATGGAAATTGGCAAGCGAACCTCTTGCGATCGCAACCCAAAGAGCCAACCACATCGAACATGCTACGAGCCATGGCCGAAAAGAGTTGAAGCCCGGCTCAAACCGTGGGCCAAAACAGTTGAGCGTCGGTCGAAGAAGCGAACACAACGCGTTTGCGCATGCGCGTGGATCATGTACGGATCGTACGTGCCTAAAATTCGCAATTCAAATATTGGCTAAAGAACGGTGCCCATAAAAGCGTTCTACCGCAAGTGACAAGTGAACGACAGCCAACTAAAATCAAATTTATATCCCTAACCAAAAAAAGGTGAATGAAATGGCCGGGGAAACTGTGTCAAAAGCAAAGAAAGTTTGTGATTATATGTGTGGGCTGGGTCTCAAGATCTTTTGAGCTGTATCTGTTTTTATATTTTTTTGTGGGCTTGTCAAGTTTGAGTGATCATCTGCGTGGGTCTCCGCCACATAAATTCAACTGCATTGCAAGTGATCACCATTTAGGGCTTTACGCCCAGGTATGCCAAAGAACTGTTCTTTTCAGGTGATTCATGCGTAAAACCTCTGCCCATCTTCCATTTTTTTGGGTGCGGCAGAAGCGTTTTGTGAATTTATTTCACCCTGCTCTGGATTCGACCCATGTAAATCCGCCTTTGGGTATGATATCACTCGAATAAATATTTATATTCGAATACCTAGCAAGGTCGATTGGCATTTGCCAAACTTGTTTCCAGATATTTTGCATTATAAATCGATGTCGAAATATTCATGTTATTTTACCTTTTTGCATATTTTGTGCTGAAAAAGACTTGAACAGGTTGTTAATTATTACCTTAATTGATATCTTCGCAGAAACCAAATATAATTAAAAACTAATATGTAGAAATGCACGATTAAGAGAGTCCTCCAAACATGTCGGCAAATCAATTAAGTTTTTATAAAATTCCTAGGAAATTCCTAACACAACTACATCTTGGAAACTATTAATATATGATTTTAATTAATCTTCTTAAAAAGCTTAATTAATTTTCAATGCCATCCTAACCCAAAAAAAGTGATATGTTTGAAAATTGTTGTTTCAATGATTATATACCTTTTCTTTCAAAGTTTTTGTGCTAATGGGTAGCTTTGTTTTTGTATTAAAAGAAAAAATTAAACCCCTTCTATTTGTATCTCAAAGTTATTATAATAATAATACGAAATCATATTAGAAATTTCTATCTTCCGAAGTGTTGACAGCTCTTCCGGAAATCAAACAAAAATTGACCTGTCTTTCAGTTTAAGCTTAATTCAGGTGGCAAGTTACCATTAATCACTCATCGGTTACAAACTCGACTGATTACACAAAGTAATTCGACGCGAACTTGACATATTTGGTATGCAAATGGCCAGAGGCCAAAGTCAAAGGGGCAATTTGCGCCTGAATTTGCATCTGAGGCTGAGGTTGACCGGGGCAATCAGTCAACCGCAGAGCAGTGGAAGTCTCGGCCAAAGATGCCAATTAATTAACAGGGCCTTAGGGCCATAAGTGGTTCCATATCCACAAAGGTGTATGCAGATGCATATATGCATATTCCACTCTAATTGCGGTTAAACAGTGCGCTTGCAATTAACTTTCCCCAGTTAAGTGCCATATGTGGCGTATACGTAATGTGAGTTTTACCAGTCAAGAACTGGTTCAAATTATTGGAAGATAGAAATGATAGAAATGTTGCCATTTACCAAATAAGGAAGCTTTTTGGCTTTATTTTATTTTTATTATTAAAGATACATTTAATGGTAACAGTTTTTATTTTCATGCTCGCTTCAATAAATTTTTGATTTGCTTGAATAATAAATATCTCATGACTAAAGCCCTAAACTATTTTCTTTCGCGTGTCAATCGCTGAAACTGCATTCAGTTGGGCTTGTGTGTATATTTAATATTTGGATATATGCCATAAAAAGTGTATAGACCCTGAAAGACCCGCAGATACGCGATTTCATTTGCGTGCCATAGCCAAGTCACGTTGTTTTTTTTTGGTGTAGTTTGTGTATTTTATAAATTATATTCCCATCTGAAACCGCCTTTTTTTTACTTTTGTTACCCGTTGAAGCCATACAAATGTTAATCGATAACCGAAGCGATTAAAACAATACAACAAAAAACAAAGGCAACACAACATTTTTATGCAAATGCACAAATTACAAATGCCTCGCAAAGATTGCGCAAAACCTTTTTTCGAATGGGCGTTTGCAAGAAATGGCTGAGGGAAAAAACCTAAAAAAAACCCAAAGCTTAAAAAATATGAGCTTTAAAGAAATGGTAAAAAAATTCGTTCAACATTTTTTCAGAGAGACTATTACACCTCCTTTTTGTTGTTACTGCTGGATTAATAATATTTGCTGAGACTATAAATGTGGAATTTTCATTCAGTGGGCAGTAGAGATTTAATCAAATGAAAGCAAATTTGTAGCGCTTTTCGCTTTTTACATTTTGATATTATCTTTAATGTTGAACAAACACAAATTGAGATTCAGTGGCAGCTGGACGTTTTCCAATTATTTATTTTGACAATGGATAGACTCAGTATACCTTGATTTCATTTCGATATCACTTTGATAAGTGCAGCTGACAAGCCCATCAAAAATCTAGTTAACCTTGTCGGCCAAATGAAAATTTTGTATTTATTTCTCAGTGCAATTATTCCACATGATTTTGTTTTACTTGTTTTAATGAAACACTGTAGCGGACGGGCTCGATTTCAGTTTTTAATTAAAAAGATATATTTTTTTGTTTTGATATTTGATGCCCAAAAATGGTTGGCAGGGTTTTTTGCTAATTCATATTGAAGCAAACCAGTTGGCTAATGGAATATAGTGGCTTATTGGCAATTGGAATGCCAATTGATTGGCCATGCTAAGTTATGCAGATCCATAAACCGGCTAATAGTTGCAGTGGAGTCGTGAAGTGTAACACCTGCAAAAGATACATATGTCCCAAGTGGTTTGCAAGGTAAAGTCGCGGAAAATTCGCGGCCAGCGCCGAAGAACGGGTTCGATTGGTTGACGGAAGAGTTTCAGTATTAGCTATAAAGTTCATTATGTAACCAAACAACCAGTTGATGCACTTGCACTCATGGTTTTCCCACACCATCTCTACGCTTTTTTTTTGATAATATCTATGTGTTTTTCTTTTCTTTTCTTTTTACCTTTATACAGCATGCGTGAACGCAGTCAAACGACCCCAAGAAGGCGTCGTGCCGGTCCAAAACAGGCATTACCATCCGAGGGGGTGGGCGCCCTGGAATCCCCCTATTACTCTATTGACAATACGGAGGATATATATGGGACCACCTTGCTGCCCTCGCAGCGCTGCTATGTGGATCCCTGGGATCTGGAGAACTATGATTATGTACGCAAAAAGATCGATGATGTCAACGGTCAGGAGGTGGTTGAACCCGCCTATGGGGGTGCTAACTCCCTGACCCCCAGTCCTACCTATGGTTATGGAACGGGAGTTGGTGGGGGTGGGGGAGTGGGTGTGGGCATGTCAGCCACTATGCCACGACCCCACACCCAAACTCGACGGGTGTCGCGTGCTCAGTGCCAACTGGAGTGCTGTGTGCCCCAAAGGACTCGTCGCCGGAGTCGCAGTGCTCGCAAGGAACCACTCTATACGGCCAGGAGCGACATCTATGGGGCACCCAGTCGCTACGAGGACTACATGGCGACCATGACCAGGCAGCTGCAGCTGGACAACGGCGAGGAGGAGGAGGATCCGGAGGACCTGTATGGCGAGGAGCAGCGCCAGCTCTACAATGGCTTTGGAGGTTAGTGCAAAATGGGCTTTCCATTCACCATATTAGCTTTCAATAAATAATTCCATTTATTAGTCTTATTCTAAGTCAATTTCATTTTCCTTAAGATTAAAGCACACAAAGGCATTGAGATGTGAATAATATATTGTATTTATTTTGTTTTCATTGTCGATTCCATTTGATTCAATTTTTGACTTACAAAAGGTTTTGTCTTTTAATTGAACAAACTCAATTATTTAAATTTGACCTTATATTTGCATTTTGATTATTTGATTTCATATGAAAAGGAATTAAATGCTGCATTCAATTTGTAACTCAATATGTTATTGAGCGTTTAAATTGGATTTCCTTTCCTAAACGTTAAAGTGCATTAAAAGGTTTTAAATTGATTTATGTTTAAAATGGTTTAAAATGTTTTAAATTTATTTATGCTTAAGTGTACGAATTACAAGAAAGTAGAAACATACACATAATTAACCCATACCATTTTTAAGGCTTTAGTTTTAGTGAACTGATAAGAGAATTGAAGAATCAAAAATAAAATTCATCAATAGAGAAGATATAAATTGCTTGATTTAATAGGGAAATATAAGAATCATGGTAAAATATATGAAATGCAATGTTTGTCATATTTCCATGTTAAATCCAAAGCTTAAGGTTCTTAAATTATACTGTGTATAATGTTGTATATTTTAAATTAATAAATACGTAAAGTAAAAAAATATTAAAATCAAATATAAGTTTGAACTTAATACATTTTTCTATCAGTTTATAACTTAATAAATGTATTTTAGGATAACATATGGTAATATGTATAATATATATTTAATGCAGTTTGATATATATCTTTGATTCCTTATTTTTAGGCTTCTCCAGTGCCAGTTCCACGGAGCACCCCTCCTCCATTGGGGATGAGCAGCCCCTGCCCCAGCGACGGGCCTCCACCCTGCAACGTCGCCCTGTTCCCAGTCAGATGCACAGGGGCAACAACAACATCGGAGGGGGCTATGGAACTGCCCCCCATCCGAGGCGCAAGCGAAGCGGTAAGACGGCGCCCCTGTCCACACCGCCGCAGATCGATTTTCCCGCCCCGCCGCCACTTTCGCCCGCCTACGACTACTGCAATCCCTATGCTACACTGCCGTACTGCAGCATTCCGGATTGCAGTGAATGTCAGCAGCAAATCTACGCTGCACCCTCCACCCTCTACGGAACCATGGGCGGCGTGGGAGGAGGGGATGGATCCCGATTGAGGGGCTCTTCACCCCATTCCAGTGGTGGCGACTCATCGCTCTACTCGGGAATTTACGCCCGTAAATTCGGACTGAGCAAGAAGGGTCTGCTGCAGATCGACTACTCCTGCAGTTGGAACGATCTGGATAGGGTGATGCAGGGCCATTTCTGAGATCCACGGGTCATTGGCCTCGGGTGCTGGGGTTAGGGTTACCATCACGTTTGCACCGATCGCGAACAGAAACATTTTTGTACTTAAGTCATTTGCATATAAAAAACACCACACACACACAAGACCAAATAACTTAACATGTTTGTCGTAGATTTATAGTCTTTCAATATTCAAATTTACTGAATAAACATTTTAAAGTCAAGAAAATGAAAGGAATTTTATTTACTAGATGGTAAGTAACATCAATATAACCAAAAATCTAGTATTAAACGGAATTCCATGGAAAAATTGTATTAGTTCCAAAAAGTTTTTATTTAATAATTATTATTTTCTATATTTAGGAAACCTTTGGTTTACCCTATTTCTCTTTTAGTTCTATTTCCCTTAATGTATTTCAATAATTATTATACCGCATACAAAATTGGCTTAGTGATTTGGCAAGGGACTACTAATTAAAAAGAAAATACCATTTTAACCAGAAATTCGTTAGCATATAAAACTGACCTCAGTTTAGCTTAATAAACTAATTAGGCCAACCGTTGCAACCAAAAACTTGACTCACTAACAGTGAATTTCCTCGAATTTCCTCGTATTTCACTCTAATTAGCAGTGACGTCATGAGAGAAACGTTCCATGTTTGAAAATTAGTTTGGGGGAAAGCGAACATGGAAATGGTTTTAATGCCGGACTTTGATGAATGTTGTGGGATTGTCAAGCCTAAGTTGGTCGAACAAATGTCAAGCGCAGGTGTACGAAGCGAAAAACTTTTTAAAGCACACTTTTCGGAGTTGAATAAAAAGGAAAATTCCATTAAACTTTCTGCCACCAAGGTGGAAAATGCAACTTCAGCTCGATTATCTCAGCCCGGGGTGCACAAATACACCGAGCGACCTGTACAAAAAAGGGAAAATCAATAAGGTAAATAAAACGGAAAAGATTTTCCTCTATCTCCTTTGCTCACGGCCCCTATTTCTCACCTCCCCTCCCTTTTGCCAATGAATGCGATTTCAATTTCTCAATCCAATTTACCTTTGCAACAGTGTATACACATCAGTACACAGGCAGAAAAGTGTCTGAATTTTTGGAAATACTTTTAACAAATTAAATTATTTCATATAGTACATAGACCCACAGATATCAAAATATAAAATATCTTAAAATCAAATATTAAAATTCCATTGTTTAATATCCCTTTCAATTTTAAGTATTACTTATTTGCTGTTGTATCTTTAAATATTTTTTTATCATAAACTACAAAATGCCTTAATTTCTTCATGTGTATCAATCCCAATACCAACACACTAACACTAATACGAACCAAAGTACAAACACAAAGCACAAGTAAATCATAAAAAGCAGCAGCAACAAACATCTGCAAAGCGAAAATCTGAATGCACAAAAAGAAATGAGAGGAAAAATGTTCCAAGTCGAGGGGAAAAAGGCACAAAAATAAAAAAAGGAGGGGTTTTTTGCTATGCACATAAAAGCGCAAATATTTGCGCAACATTTTCGTCGTCGTCGTCGGCGATGTGGCGATAAAAATCGAACAAGAAAAATATGCAAAACTGAACAAGCAGAAGGGGAAATAAAAACGTCGCAAGAATAAGCCCAAGAAAATAAAAAGAATATATATATATATATATATATGATGTGTATATTTGTGTGTGGGTCCCTCTTTTTGCCACGGATTTGCTTTTATTATTGTATAACACCAAACATTTGCATGCGGCGACGCCAAAATGTATGCCACACTTTGCTCACCAGCTGCCACGCCCACTCTACCCAATTGCCCCCCTTCCCCAAAGAAAGCCGTCGCCGCCCCTGGCCACTTTTTGCATTTGCATTTATGTGCGGCGCCAATTCGAGCTGCCACGCCTCCTGCCTGCCCCTGCCTACCATTCGAAAAAAAAATGCAAATCGCAGCGAAAATATTTCGCACTTCCATGGAACGGAGTAGGGAACCCCTAGCCCATGCCCATCCACCCATCCCATCAAAACCAAAAAAACCCGTACCCAAACCCACCTGCGATTCCTATCTCGCAGTGAACGAGTGCTCGAATTTGGCCTGGAAAAGTGCTCCCAATTTGCATGGTCTCACCTGGAGCTGAACAAGATGGAAAGCCCTTATTGGGAAAAAGTTCTATCGGCAATTGCCCGAATTTAGCAACGATTTCAAAGGAGTAATCTAATTTTTTCAATCTGTACAAATTATACAAGACCCAACAATAAAAAAGCGATTACTTTGTGTCGAAGGATTTCGATTTACAGCGGTTTTGGTCTCTAATTTGAATAAATACATTTGGCTTTATTAGATTTATCTTTGTAATCAGCATTCTTAAAGTAGGAATATGATATCCTTAAGCAATTGGGCTCATTATCTTTTACGATGTTATATAACTTACTCTACCTTAATAAATTGTATATTGCTAAACCACTTTTTAAATTTTTCTTTCTTTCCTAGTTGAAGTATAAATATATTTTCAATATTTATTAAATACAGAAAACAATTTAAAGAATTACTAATATTTAATAGAAAACTCAGAGATCTCGTATATAAGAGCAGAACCTATTAGTTTTTCATCATATTTATTTTAATATCACTTATATTAGAATATTAAAGTATTAAATTTAAACAGTTGAGCTTATTATTTTAAAAAATTTTATTTTACTAACCCTACTTTAATAAATGGCATATTGCTAAGCCTCTTTTAAAATTGTTCTTTTCTTTTTACTTGAGGTATAAATATATTTATAATTTCTATAAAAATGTTACTTAAAATTATTAAATTGTTAGATAAAGTATTAATATTATTTAGAAAGCTCTGAGATTTCGTATATAAGAACAGAATCTATTAAATTATTCCACGTTTTAGCGCTGTCTTTGTCGGTTTTTGTGTGCTATTCCTTTTTTTATTCTGGCTAAGCTTCAGAACAGAGCGAAGCAGTTGAATAGAGATGAAATGTAGAATTGTGCGATTTTATGTTCCACTCCCCATGGCTGGCTTAAAAAACGGCAAAATTGTCTGCGACAATTGTAAGTCGTTTGCACAAATTGCAAGTTAAATGGATCCTTGCCGGCGGGTCTGCCGCTCCATTTGATGGTGCAAAAATAGCAGGACGACAAGATGGTCGCCTATAATGCGACTGACAAATGCAAATGAGTTGAGCGGATCGGGCAGCTGACAATCAGTGGAGTATTATCTTTTGCAAAAGGCAGGGGACAGCTGGATTTAAAATTCCCCGGCACAGTCAGGTGCATTTGAATGGATATTATGGCTCACAGATAGTATAGTGCAACCCATTCAACGTGTCTGTCGGTTTGATAAGAAATCTAATTTAAAGTTAGTTCCTTTCAACTCCCCTAGATTTTGGATTGTGTCAAAAACTCTAAACTATGAACAAGCCAAAACTTTAATTAAAACTATATTTAAGCTTATCAAAAGCAGAGTGAAATGTTATTTGCTAAGCTGGGAACTGTAACCCCCATTAGTTTTGACTCTCCATCATATGGGTTGGCAAACTTTTGCCCTCATAAGCTTCCATCATGTGGGACAAAAATCTGCAACTAAATGCCCTTATAAATTACAGGCAGCTGTCAAAACTCACGGTTCCTGTTTGCTGTTTTGTAGTATGCAAAACACTCGAGTTAAAAATAAGCCAGCAACCTGAAAACTTAATTAAAGTTTTTTCTTTCTTTGTTTCTGGTAACAAAACGAAACCCAGGAGTGAAGAAGGAAAAAGGACATGCCAAACAAACAACAAAACGCAGTCTCTATGAGTGTGTGTGAATCAGTGTGTGTTTGTATCTGTGTGTGTGTGGCTGCAGCTGTGTATGTGTGGGTGGGTGTCTCGTTAAGCCAGCAACTCAAAATGGCGCCCGAAGTCCTGCTGCCTTGTGTTCTCTATGCAATTTGCCAGCCATTTTGCACCTTGCAATGAAAATGTTTTTTAATTAAAAACAAGAAAGAAAACTTTTCCGAAGGTTGTTGAGAATAGTTGGTACTTAAGACTAACGGGATACCCAGTAAATACGGGGTCTACCATGAGTTAAGACTCCAGGGTCTCACCGAAGACCTACAAGAAAGTTATTTTTGCATAAAGTATTGATATTTTCTGTTGGTTTCAATAGCACAGCCTCACCAAAGTCCTACTATTATTTTTCCCAAAAGAGTATTGGCATTGTCCTCTGCTTTACATTTTTCATAAATTTATGGGTACTTCATTATTTGATATAGAATAATATTAATAATAAGCAATAATTAATAAAATATCTCTTAAAGTTGGGCATTGATTGTCTTGATTTACTCAACAAGCTAGCATATATATAATTTTGTTAAAGAAATCGATAAACAAAATATTATCGATAATAATCGCTCCAGAATAATCATTACTTATGCCCCCAATTATAATACTTTATATTTATGTGATCAAGAAACTCAAAAAACAAATACTAAAAAAAATAAATATAAATTTAAGGAACCTACAAAAAGATAAATTCCACTTTGTGGATAAATACATACACATTTAAATGATCTATTAAAAAGCCGTATCTACCATATCAACGAGTATGGCTGACATAACGCATACGCAGGGTATGCCAGCATAAAAGACAGCTTAAGTCGCACTAAGGTGTAGGAAGTGTCTGACATTTAGCGCCTTTGAAAAGTGCTGCAAACAGTTTATAGACATAAACACACAAATTTGCATATATCTGTGTGACTATGTGCCCCGTATGTATATGCAAATATATATATATAGTGTATGTACAATACTATATATGTTGTGTTTAAGACGGGCCCCCTGGCTGCCATTTGCTAATGAATAAGTTAATTTCGTTTTGGCCCCAGCAGGGAAATGCGGAACAGGACGCTCTTCGTGTTATTTATGTGGCCGCTGCCTGACTGTCGCCCATTTTAAAACCCTCAAAGTGGTCATTAGAGACTTTGGCTCAGTTGGCAGTTTCAGTTTCAGTTTCTGTTTCTGTTCCAGCAAACACAAAGAGAGCGAGAGAAATGAGACATAACATATATATAGGAAACGCCTCCATCCGCCCCGTTGCACGTTCAACGTGCCACGTTCAACAATAGTGGCCACTAAAAGTGAGTGAGAGTCCGGTTCTAAATATATACGTAAATACATACATATGTACATATATAAAATGTTCAGGCCCCCCAACTATATTTATATCTAGTTG